TTTTTTTTAAAAATAAAGTGATGACTTAAAGGGGAGAATAAGAGGATGATTGAGAGATAAAGCATAAAGGGAGATAAAGTGTAAGTAAAATTTAAATTGAAGTGTGATTAACCAAACTGAAACACTATGGACTTATCCCCACAACTCCCACCCACTATAGGTATATCAGTGTATTTTGTGGAGAAAATTGTGAAGTGAAAAAGGTACATGATGGGTAGAAGAAAGGTCAAGTTCAGAGGGAAATGAATGATGTACCCTTATCAAGTGAACAATGAAGGGGTGATGAGCCCTAAAACAAGACTATAAGGTAATAAGAGTTGGCAGAAGTATATGATCAAAACTGGGGAAATCAAATGGGAAGGTCTTCCCCGGGGGGGAAAAGATGCATGCCTGTGATGGAAACTGTTGACATCATGAAGCATTTATTCTTAAAAAGTTGGGCAGTAGGGAAAAACCTCTGAGTGCCTCCATGAACAATATCCTGCCCCGGGAAAAGAGGTTTGTGACCTTCTAGGGGGAACTGGCACTCAAAAGATTTTGGAGGAGGGGGCATAGACCCATTGATGAGATGGCATGACAAATGGGAAGTAGGGAATGGCCATGGGAAAGCAGAATTGAACGAGTTGTTTAGGACCCAAGGCAATTTCTACCATAGGGCACTGCTTCTTTCCATATTGCTTTCCTCATGAGCTGTTAATTCTAAGAGTGAAGCACAGTAGAAAAAGTGAATGGAACAAGATCTGTAAATTCAGTAAAACACATACACACACACTCACTCAAAATGAACAAGTAAGGATATAGACCACAAATCAGAGAATGCATTTTCAGAATAAGCAAGAAGGGAAGAGAATAAATAAAACAAAGCAAAGAAAATCTTCTTAGAAAAAAGCGCAAAATGAAGAAAGCTATTAAACATAAGAAGTTGAAAGGTAACATTTTTAATTAACCACTTTTTTCAAACCACTTTACACCTTACTCCTTCCTCTCCTCACACCATGTGCTCTGTGATCCAGTGACAATGACTTTCTGGCTGTTCCTTAAACAACACCCTCCATCTCCCAACTCTTGACATTTTCACTGGACACCTCCTAATGTCTAGAATTCTCTCTCTACTCATTACCTCATGGCTTTCCTGAAATGATATGCAACTAGAAAAAAAGTCTGTGTCTATAAGGAGCTCAAAACCAGGGTTTTCTACCTAACTAAAATATAAAAATAATTGAGGCCACTTCCTTCTAGTAAATCATACTGTGTTTTGGAGACAGTCAGTAGTGTCATGCTTTAGGAAGAATGCTATATTTGGAATCAGAGGACCTGGGTTTGAATCCCAGTTTACTACCTCTGATTTCTGGTAAGTCATTTAACTTCTCTGACCCTCAGTTTCTTTATCTGTATAAAAGGAATTGGTCTAGATAACCTGAACATTCCTTCCAGCTCTAAGTCTATGTGTGTGAGTTCAAGAGTTATTTGGTCCAAATCTTGTTCTGCCTTACTTTGTAAACTAGTCCATTTCCCAAACTGAACTCCTATAATACTTAGTCCATATTTCTCATTCTGACATTCTTCACACACTGTTCCTAAAGAACAAGGGCCATAGTGTCTGTCTTTTTGTGTCCCCTTCAATAAGGAACACAGCCCTATGTATATAATAGGCATTCAGGAATCTCTTGTTGAATGAATGAATACTGACCTGCAGGCTTGATATATCAAGGGATATTTACATCAAAGCATGTAACCTGTCTCCTTAAACAGTAATAAGAAGTCAACAAAAGCTTGCTGTAAAGACTTGAATTCCAATAAGTAGGTTAAAAGACTTAACCCCATTCTTCTAGCAGCTTGGTTTATTTTTTTTTTTACTTAGACTTCGTTTTACTGTCAGTAGGTAAAAATAGGTTTATCTGTGAAATGCCAAGGAAGTAATTTGTTTCAGAGCTTAAAAATAGTGAAACCCATTTTTTTAAATAAAGAACTTTATTGTAAGTAACAGAGCTGGGATTCAAGTAGAGGTCTGAGTTTCAAATCTAGTGTTCTTGCCATTATACCATTCTAGCTCTTGGCATTGATTTATTCTGACAGAAAATAAATGAAACTTGAAGCTTGGAACAGGGAGAGCTAAAAAGAAGCACATTGCAAAGCTTTGAAACAGCCCTTTTCTACATCAGAAGTAATACTTCAGCACCTCCTACTAGCATGATCATTTATTTTCTCATCTATAACCAACTTTCTATAGCAAATGCTAGAATGAGAAGTGTTCAGGTAACCTCAGATAAAGTTATTTTCACTAGTTCTACATCTTCAATGCTCATATAGGTCTGTAATCTCATTGATGTGTATATGCCTTCTAGTTATGCAGATGGTAACTCATCCATGCCTTCTTGTCCTCTATGATTCTTGTCTGTCCTCCCCTAAGTTTGCCCCAGAGGAATGGGAGACACACAATTTATGGTGGGGTGGGGCTTCTCTTGATAGCACAAAGATACCATATTCATGGGCTGTCTAACAGGTAGCCCTCATTCATGCCAAGTGACCAACCCATTTTTTTTAAGATAATACATTTCTTTAATGACATGCTTTACTCATTTCTTCATAGTTCCTTATTTATGTGCTGCAGCTTGTTCACTCCTGCCATTTATCTCTCCTGAGGGATATTTACTTATAATTCTTCAAGAACTATAGTGTCTTGTGACTCTTAGCCATATGGTAACACCAGTAGAATATTTGTATTAAAAAAAAGATGAGCCTTCTCATTTCTAAAATATAGAGAATTAAGACAAATTTATAAGAACACAAGCCATTCCCCAATTGATAAGTGGTCAAAGGACATGAACAGACAGTTCTCAGATGAAGAAATTAAAGCCATCTATAGTCATATGAAAAAATGCTCTAAATCGTTATTGATTAGAGAAATGCAAATCAAAACAACTCTGAGGTACCACATCACACCTATCAGATTGGCCAACATGACAAAACAGGAAAATGATAAATGTTGGAGAAGATGGGAAAATTGGAACACTAATACATTGTTGGTGGAGTTGTGAAATGATCCACCATTTTGGAGAACAATTTGGAACTATGCCCAAAGGGCTACAAAAATGTGCATACCCTTTGATCCAGCAATAGCACTTCTAGGGCTATATCCCAAAGAGATCAAACAAATGGGAAAAGGACCCACATGTACAAAAATATTCATAGCAGCTCTTTTTGTGGTGGCAAAGAATTGGAAATTGAGAGGATGCCCATCAATTGGGGAATGGCTGAGCAAGTTGTGGTATATGAATGTAATGGAATACTATTGTGCTATAAGAAATGATGAACAGGCTGACTTCAGAAAAACCTGGAAAGACTTATATGGTCTGATGCTGAGTGAAGTGAGCAGAACCAAGAGGACTTTGTACACAATAACAGCCACATTATGCGATGACTAATATTGTTAAACTGAACCCTTCTCAGCATTACAAGGATCTAAGACATCTCCAGAGGCCTCGGGATGGAAAATGCTGTCCACATCCAAAGAAAGAACTATGGAAGTCAAATCACTATCACTTATTTTTACCTTCTGTTGAGTTTTGTTTCCTCTTTCTGATGGTTCCCCCTATTGGTTTTAATTTTTACTTACAACTTCACTAATGTGAAAATATGTTTAATGGGTATGTAAATGTAAAGTCTATATCAGATTGTGCGCCATCTTGGGAAGGGTGGGGGGAGGAAGGGAGAGAAAAATTTTCAACTCAAAAGCATATGGAAGTGATTGTTGATAAATCAAAATAAAACAATAAAAAAAAGATGAGCCTTTGTTTCTATAGAGTCAGTCATTAAGGAGCTTTACCATTTCCCACAGGGGATTCAGCCTACTTCCCTTCTCCTGTTTAATTCCAGGAGGTTCCAGGTTATGTGTCTTGCTGAAGAGACTCTCCATTGTTTTGGAGATTGATACAGCTTGCACAAAATCATCCATAAAGAGCATCTGAAAGATATCACCATGTTTTAGAAATCCCTCTTCATCTTGCACTCAATGCTGGATCTCCACCACAATGGCAAATAATTGTCAAGCATATATCTTTTTTATGCCTCACTTGACATTAATGCTCAAAGAGTCATTAAACAAGATTATCTGTGCTGTTATGTGTTTTGAGGAATTTTGCATGATTTTGACATGCATGGGAAACTTATCTTGTTGTAAGAAAGCCTTTAAGTTCATATTTTCCCCTACCAAAGCCAAAGCTTTACTTTTGTTGCTGTTGCTAAGTACAGTGGGAATGATCATGCTGTGGCTAAATGATTCATCACTACGTCTCTGGTGATTAGCATCTCTATGTCTAGCCAGGCTGGTCCTCAGGAAGCAGCCTCAATCTGTTGCCCAGACTGTATTGTAAGCTTTTCCACCATGGCAGAAACTTTTAGGGTTTGTGCTCCATTGGCTAACCTTCAAGAACCAAGGGCCACAATGAGGCATTGAAGTAGGACTTCTTGGCATCCTTTCATATTGTCATTTTAAACTATCATTACTTTCCATTGCCTAAAATTACTGTTGCTTTAAAGTACTTCTGTCTAGCCCATCTTTCTAAATTGATTTTACATTACTTCACCTCACACACTGTATGTTTGAGCAAACTGACTTGTTATTCCCCGGTATTTTCTCTCCTCTCTCTTTGCCTTCAAACACTTATCATTTCGTCTGAGGTGTTATCCCTCCTGTCATGTGTATCTTAGAACCCTTTGCTCCCCTTAAAGCTTACTATGCCTTTCTTATCATTCTGTCCTTTGGATGGCTTGTGATTGGTTCCTCAACTCCCTTGCAATTGTGTCACCTCCAACATGGATCTCCTCTGTGTACAATTGGTCTCATCTAGTTGCTCAAGCACCATCTCCTACAGGAGGCCTTTCCTGACTCCCTCCCTCAATTGCTAGTACTCTCCCCCTCAATTACATCATATTTGTTTCATATATTTTATATTTCATTATTTTTGTTTCCCTTCAATGGAATGTAAACACTTTGGGGACAGGTTTTTTTTTTATTTTTCTCTTCATATCACAAAAAAATTATATTTAATGTCTCATGACTCCCCCTGAGCTCACTCTCCAGTGCCACACTAGCACTAGTAAGTTGGTCCCCAGAGGGCAACTGGCTACTGCTTCCCTCAGGATTCCAGGGGTTGCTCTGAAGGGCTGGGGTTTTCTAATTTTATCATTCAAGTCCCTATACAGTATGTTCCCACCAATATTGACTAATTGATATCAGTTGGCCAAAGTTAATGAGCTTTTATAAGGGGATATTTATTCTGCAGTTATTGCAAGGGCAGTTTTTACAGAAACAGCCCCCCAAACTGGGAGGGGAACTCTCCCCACACCCCATATACACCCAAGATTCCTGGTGAGAGTGGGCTCAAACTTGAATGACAAAGGCACAGAAGCACCATGTAAGGATCACATGTGGCTAGGAGGACTTTCTGGTAGGTTTGGTTTTTTTTTTCTGCTCAGAGTCCCCATAAAGTTCACTTCTAGGTATGATATCACAGTTGGATGAGTCACTCCCTCAATTGCACACCCGTATCTCAGTTGCTAGATCACTTCACTAGTGGGCAGAGTTCACCAGATCATTTCTCAAGCTTGATCTTCACCAGACTCAGCTACTGCTGCTATCAGCTGGGTACTCCACTACTGACTTTAGTTGCTAGATCTCTGATGGCTCCTCTGAACTTTTGAAACTTTTGGTCCATTTTGTCTCCAGATACTCAGGCACCTATGACCAGAAAAGAATAAACACAAAGAGACTAGAAACAGAGGTGTCATATATTAGGGCCTATTGCCCCTTCCCTATCAGTGGCTCGTAGCAATCTTCCTCACTCCGAAGTTGATGGGTGAGAAAATATCCTTCAAATCTTTTGTATGCACACCCAGTTCTGGCTCAGCCTGTACTGAATCTTTAGTCCTTTGGGCTCCTTAGCTAACCAGAAAAACTTTAATGGATAGTCATCCATGGCCAGGAACTAAACCCCCAAAGTTCTACATGTCAGACTGATGGGAGGAAGAGAATATTGCCCATATTCTGTATAACTCACAAGAAGGGCAGACCTTTGCATGTTCTAAGGACTGGGCCCTCATTGGCTAGTCTTCTTATTATTCATGCTTGTTAGACTGATGTCTCCTTCTTCTGAAACTTGAGAACTGAAAGATAACTTTGACTCACTTCTCTGAAATTCCCTTGCTGGTTACCCATACCCAGTTGCTGTCTCAATTCCTCTTGTATTTGTTGCATCTAAAAACTTACTGCTGCCTTTCATTTTCCTTTGGGCTACATTTTATGAAATGCTTGGTTGGGGAGTGGGTGGGGAAAAAGCTATGTTGGTTCATATCTGTTATGTTAAAATATTGGCGGGGTCATTGGTCATTATTCCCTGTCAAAACCTTTTCTTGCCATCCTTCAAAGAGCAGACATATGTAATGAGTCAGATTCAGATCCTGCCTTATCTTTAGCACTTTGTCCAGCTTTAGAAAAACCAACATTAATAGAGTAAAGTGAAGTGAGGGAGAAAGTAATAGTAAAAGGAAAGAGAGAAGAGATATTTTAGAGTGAAAGCTTTGAAAATGCTTGCTTAAATGTTCACAACAAGCATTTATTTAACTAAATAATAGCAACAAAATCATGTGATAAAGTGCTTGACATAATGAATAAAACCCTAGAAAGTTAGTTTCAGTCATATTTTCATCATGTGCTACTCTTAGTGATCCCATTTGGGGTTTTCTTGACAAAGATACTGAAGTGGTTTGCCACTTCCTTCTCCAGCTCATTTGACAGATGAAGAAACTAAGGCAACCAGGGTTAAGTGACTCACTCAGGGTCATACAGCTGGTAAGTGTCTGAGGCCAGATTTGAACTTAGGAAGATAAGTCTTCCCAATTCCAAGCCTGGCACTCTATCCACCAGCTGCCCTAGAAAGTCATCTTAATACAAAGCATAAAAAAGTAAAATATAGTCTATGTTAGAAATAACAAAAATTTTATTTACACAAAATAAAAGATATTAAGATCAGAAGTTAGAACTGGAAGTGAATTTTTTGGGATCTTCTAATCCAACACTTTCATTTTATAGATGAAGAACCTAAGACCCAAAGAGAGGTTATGTCACTTGCCCAAGGTCACAAAGAAGTCATAAATGGTGAGCCAGAATTCACTTCTATTTCCACTGTATCTATTCCCTAGAAATGCTTTCATACTGACTGGCCACAAAAATGGCAAGCATTTCAAAAGCTTTTCTTCAAAATACTTCTCCTTCCCCCCCCCATCCTGTGGAAGTTAGTTTCCTTATCTATAAACAGAGGAGGGTGGAAAAGGTGAATCATAGACTAGCTCTAATATCCTATGTATTATGTATTTTCACGAAGCTGGAGGGTGTGAAATGGATTCATTGTGTTAATCTATGATGGCAAGCCAATGCTTTGGTAGAGAATAAACTGGTACAAATGAATTCAGTCAGCACTGTCTCAAAGTCCAAAGCATTTCTATTTATTTACCACCTTCTAGCTGTTTCAAAACTGATTTCTGCTTTCTAAAGGGGATTTTTCATCTAATTAGACCTTTTCCTTAACCATAAATGAGTCATTCCAACTCAGGTTCACATGTGAATGATTTTAGATGGATCCATGGGCTTCTTCCATTTTTTCCAATATTTTCCCTAAGAAGAACCTAAGAGATCATCAGTCTAATCCCTTCATTTTACAGATGAGGAAATGGAGATGCAGAAAGGGGAAATAATTTGCTCAAGGTGACACACTTATTAAGTAGGAAAGCCAAGATTTAAAACTGATCCCCTTACTCTGAGTGAAGCTCTCTTTCCACTATATCCCCTTAGCCCTTATACTGTGAAGCAAAATAATAGAAGTTTAAATATTTGTCATTGCTTGCCACCTATAGATCAATTCAGTGGCACTATAGGAAAGTGGAAAGAGTGCTAACTTTGAATCATAGGACTCGAGTTCAAATCCTATACTATACTTAGTAGCTATGAGAACGTGGGCTAATCATTTAACTTCTCTAGGCCTCATTCCTCCTCTGTAAAATGAAAGGGTTGAACTAGATGATCTCTAAGATTCCTTCCAACTTCTGATCTATGGTCCTTTGATTTATTTATTTATTTAAGATCATTCATCCTTTTTGCAAATATTTACAAGCAACTATTGTATGTAAGACCTTGTCCTAGTACTAGGGGATGAATAAGACATGGTGTCTATCCTCAAGGAGCTTACAGTCTTGTAAAAAATGATGAAGAAATAAATAACAAACCAATCAGAAATAATAAGTCAGTTGTAAACCATTATAAAGACTCTAAATTGAGTTCTTGGCCCAGAGCACCAAAAAAAAACCTTTTTAAGTCAAAGTACACTTTAGAGCACAAAAGATTTTTATAATGTAATTCTCCAAACTCCAACTGGGGCAGGGAAGAATGAGTCTAAGGTGATAACTAATCCATTTAAAAACAAAAATATGACAGTGTATGGTACATAAGATCTCTGTGGTTTCTCTCCAAACTAAATCTATGATCTCAAGAAGTTTTTAGTGCTAGACAAGCAGTTATCTCATGTGTGATCAGTTAAACAGTGATATTCTTGAAATGATCAGGACAGTGCTTCCTCCTGTGGTCACGTCCTTTTGATGAGCTGGTACTAAGAGAAGTGTGGGAGGTGCTGCACAGTGTTCTCAAACCACCCACAAGATGATAGAGAAATCAGAAATGAACTGAAAAAGAAGACCAAATGGTTCAAGAGGTAAAAGCCAGTTAAATTGAAATGTTTAAAGTCTTTACAGAATTCTATAAAATGGTTGCTATTTATGTGATTCAAACATACCAAATAATGCAGCCAATAAGTTGTGAAAGTCATAGTTTTTATCATTCTCACTTAAGATTTTTAAGATATTAAATTACATTATGCCAAATCATTTTCTTAAAAAATATAAAATATTATGTAGAATCGAGTTGTTCTGAATCTAAGTTACCATTATTTGATAAGGTAATTGAATAGGAAAAAATAAAACATAATGGTGAAGACATTGAGCATTGACGCTTACAAGTGACACTGAAGTTCTATCACAAGTTGTATCTTCCCAGCTGAATAGTTCCTTTTCTCTCATCCTGTTGAACTTACCATGCTACTTATTACATGTTCATGAGAGCCAGGAGATGAACTAGACAGACAGAGAGATTAGGTATAGATATATACACCTATACATGTATAGGTTTGTTTACTACTAATTGCCATGTCCCCAAGAGGGAAAAAAAATGTCTTCTTAAGAATATTTATACCATTTTCCTTGAGGACCAAACTCCATTTTTATGTTGTAATGAAGTTTTTGATGTTATGGCAATGATCTTTGGATGTCTGATAATAAAAGTTGACAGTGGTGAAATCCTTGGAATAGATTTTAAAATAAGTATTGATTTTTGTTTTTAATTGAAGAGCTTTTGAGATTTTATTTTTGTAGTTATTCTCATAATCTTCTGTACACAATTCTTATCCATCTGAATACATTTTCAAAATCACTTCCCAAATAGCATTAGGCCATTTAAATATCATTTTTCACCTACTTAATATTTTTATTTTTTTAGTTAAGGAAAAACAGCAGGAGATATTTCCACTTTTATTAGCTGTATTCAAATGAAAAGACAGCTTATCTTCTAATCATCTCTATAACCATATTGTCTTATGCATTTGCATATGGCAATAAAAATCCTGAAAGATAAGTAGAAATATTGCAGAAATAAAATGCACAGCTAGAAATGTCTATGCATCTGTCATTTCAGGCTTTTAACCTCTCTAGAACTGTGTTTACTTTAAAGGCTTCTTTATACTAAATGTGTATGTAATACTGTACTAGATCCAACCATCTCCTTCAGATTCCCATGTTCAACCTTCTTACCTTTTTGTCACCCCAGTCTTTTCTTTACTAACTCTAGAAGGAGTTGGGAAAGTAAAGCATAGCTGTCACCTCCAGGGATAAAATGATGGCTTCAGTTCTTACTGTACTGCCCTCATGACCAATATCATTCATAGTCATATCTTATCAAGGGTAAAGGGGGATTTAATTGTTGGCTACCATCAGAAATTAAATGTTGCTGTATGCACACACATGGTTAGCATGTGTACAAATATGTATGTGTCCGTATTCACTTGTGTATAGCCAAGGACTTAAAATTTTATGCCCATATACGTCTACCCTCTTTTCCTTTGTAAATCATTTTTGAAACAATTATTCTGAACTCTGCACCATTTAAACTCAATATCTTTGATAATGATGCAATACCTGACTTTCATATTTTCAAAAGTGATTTCTAAGTGTTCAGATATTTACAAAAAAGGTCCTCTCTATTTTGCTTTTGTAAATTGCATATGGGAGCACTGCAATCACCTGTTAACCCCCAGGATGATTCCAGAACAATAGCTAGCAAACATAACATTGCACTTCTTCTTGCTGCAGGCATGGAACAGCCAGTGGGCACGGTGTAGGGGTGTCCTGCTGTTGGTGTCTGGCTATTTTTGTTGACATTTGCCTTTGTTCAAGACGCATTTCTTGTTAGACAGTGTGTATGGGGCTGCACGTGGTCTGCCTACCTGGTGTCCTTGAACTAACAGGGGCTATTTTCTCATCGCCTTCAGTGTGTTGGTGTGAGAGAAGCCTCTCCTGCCGAGTATCTCACTCCTGCACTAAGGCTTCTTTGTTAATCAGGTGCAGAATAAGGAGGCTTTCTGTTGAGCAAAAAGCAATCATTAATTTTTCATAAGAGCAGCAAAGTTTTGAATAGCAGAGAATCTCTTGAATAAAGCTATTAGAGGTTCCAAAGAGAGAAGAATAACAAAGCCAAGGGAACTGTGCACGTTCTTTCCTCAGATATTTATTTCCCCATAAGATAGAAAAAAAAACCATTTATGCAAACTAACAGTTCTTCATGTCTCATGAACCATAATTTTTTAATCCTTATTCACATTTTTATGAATAATACTGTGACCTTCAGCTTTGTCCCATATTATGTGAAGATGATTCCTAAACACTGCCTTACTTTTTTAAATTAAGGCAGAAGCTATATGTATTGTACTCGATTCTAGCATTAGTGTTATCCCAAGTGTGGCATTTATGTTCTTTCAGTTCTTTGGTATAAATAAATATCAAAGCAAGAAGACCGATGTGTACTCTACTAGGAATAATAAACTAAAATAATATGGCATTGATTTTGTTCAGGGTGTCTAAATGTGTTTTTATGATTGTGTATGTTTATAGCTTTTTCACACAACTGACATGAATTCTAGGCAATTAAAAAGGACAGGAATTTCAGGGCATTTAGGAAAGAGGCTCTGTCTTTGTAATGGCATTTTTACAAAGTTGTAATACCTTCAGCATGAGAAAGATACTGTAGTTTGCCGGATTTGGACTTGAAGAAATTGTACCGTTTATTGCCTTTTGTGTTGTTTTGCAATGTTATTACCAGGAGAGCACATCAGAAGTTACTATTTTATCTGAAGTCACATATAGAGATAATTTAATATTGAAATAATGCAAAAGCCCTTTGTATTGCATTTATACTCACCATTTGAAATTATTCAAGACCAAACCTTGATAGGCTTTGAGGTTTTGAGTTTGGGGGATCATAGGTATCAAGTTGGATTGTGTTTACAGGATTAATAGGAACATTTTCAGAGGCTTTATCTAGGCTGCTAATTTTGTGGTTTTGGTCACAAGAGGGAGGAAAGAGTATGCCACTCATCCCAACTATTAGAAAAGCAATTCAAAGCACATGGACTACTGACACTGAATGGTTCAGTAGTTTCATCTCCCCCTAAAAATTACACCTTTGTTGCCATAGTGTCTGTTTAACTTGCCCTGTGCAATGGTGAATGGGTAGAGCTATACAATGCTATCCTGTTAACAAAGAAAACCATAAAGGAAGGTAGCATGTGCAGAGAGCCAAGACTGAAGAAAAGGCAGCTTTGGTTCCAAATCGCATGGGTAAGGAAATTTACCTATCAACATTTTGTACTTTAAGGTTCTAGACTTTTCTAGAGTTGTCACGTTAGCATCTTTCTACTCTCCTTTTGCTGAAGGAAAGATTTCCGTCTTAAGATATTATCACACAGCATTCTGGTAGAATGTGTCTTCACTAGCACTTGGAGGACTTTATCTTTGACCACCTTCCCTTTCCATTGTTAATTTCTAATCTTATCTTGGTGTTAAAAATGATTGGATTAATAATGGGAAAATATTATTTTCTAAACTGCCTATTCTTTGATTTCATTAACACTGATGTGATCTATTTGAGGTATTTTTAATGCCTAGTGTATAATTATGCTAATTAAAGTCTGTAAGACTGTTACTTCAAAGAACCTCTACTTCTTAAGATATGTAAAGCTATATTTTGACTTAGGCCCTTCAGGTTCAGAATCAGAGAAATTATATTTAGATTTTACATATTTATATGTTATATATATTATGTCACATGTCCATTTTCTAGCTGTTAAATAATTGTTCCATTAACCTACATTTTCATTGTTTATTTTATCATTATAGACAAAAAAGGAACTTCCATTCTTTGTTTTAATACAATATTTTGTAATAGACATAATATTTGGAAATCATTCAATTATTGAGGGAGGAAATGCTCTTAAGTGTCATTGTCTAGGTCCAGTGTAGCATAAGAAATAATTTTACTTTCTCTAGATATATTTGAATTACTTTTTATCAAATTGTGTTCTTTTTCTCATGTCAAAACCTTCATGTTCACTTCAGGCTCTGTGTGTGCGTATGTGTAATTGTCTAGGAATTATACTGGGTCATCTTTGATACCTGTGGTGGTAGCTTTGGTTCTGGCATTGAAGATATCTCTTATACAAAGTAGAAACATCCCCATTAATGCCACATTTGAAGAAGTCATGACCAGTCATATAACTGAGCCTATGCCCTTGGACTTGGCTTTTTAAAAGGAAAGCAGAAATTGATACTGAAGGAAAGAAATAAAACAATCTAACAACTATTTATTAAGAACCTATTATATGTAAGCCAGGGTGAAAGGGTTATTACCAAGACAAAATGTTAAGAGATACCCTGCCCTCCAGTAGCCTATATTCTATTGGAAGGAAAAAACATGTAAACAGAAAATAACAGTAGCAATTGCTAGCACTTACATAATGCTTTACAATTTGCAAAGTACTTTATATATCTTATTATCTTATTTGATAAGGATGTATGTGATCATGAGAAGAGGGAGAAAGTACTAACAGCTTAGGAAATCAGGAAGGATTTTTTTTTATAGATGTCACATGAGCTGAACCTTGAATGAAGTTAGTGACTCTAAAAAACAAAAACAAGGGGTTGATTTTAAGAATGGGAGACAACCTGTGCAAAGGCACAAAGGTGGGAGATGGATTGCCAAATTTGATGAACACCAAGTAGTCCAGTTTGTCTGGAACACTGAGTTTGTAAAGGGCTATGATATACAACAATCTTGGAACAGTAGTCTGGAGCCACATTGTGCAAGGTTAACACCAAGAAGAACCAGTTTCCTCCCTCTTTCTTCTGACACATTTTCAGATATTTGAAGACAGTTATCATGCTTCCCCAAATTCTTCTCCTGCCCTCAGTCAGTCACTGGATGGCATGATCTTGAGCTCCTTCACCATTCTGGTCATTCTTTTCTTGACGTTCTCCAATTTGTCAGCTTGTCACCGAAGGGTGAACTGAACACAGTGTTTTAGATGTGGTGTGACCAAGGGGCAGCCCTGAAAGCCATATTCAAATATCTGAAAATCTAGTGTATGGCAGAAAAGGAGGACTTTGTCTGTGTGACTCTGGAGAACAAAATAGAAAAAATAGGGGTCCTATATAGGGAGAAACATTTCAGCTCAATTCTTTTTTTCAAAAACTTGCTAATAATCCAAGCTTTTTGGTAGTGGAGCAGACTTCCTCAGCAGAGAGTAGGATCTCCGTCATTAGACTTCTTTAAGGTCTGTAGGATCAGAAGATCCAGATGTAGAGCTGGAAGGGACTTCAGAGGCCACCTAGTCCAACCCCTTCATTTTATGGATAAGGAAACTGAGACTCATGAAGGTAAGATCACTTTCCCAATATTTATTTATTTTATTTTATTTTTAGTTTATGGAACAAAACAAGCATTATACATGTGACTACAAATCTATTATGCACAACTTGCTATTCCTTTCAAATATACAACAAAATTATCATGTAAATTTCTTTTTTTCTAATTTTCCTTTTTTTCTTCCCTCCCTCCTGCCTTAGAGGTGGCAACCATTAGACACAAATAGGTACATACATGTAAAATTATTCTATATGTACTTCTATTTATTAATTCTTTCTCTGGATGCAAATAGTATCTTTCTTCCTATTTCCTTTATAGTTAATTTAGATATTTTATAATAGACAAAATAACTTATTTGCTCAGGCATTCTTAAAACAATATTGCTGTTACTATATACAGTGTTTTATTGGTTCTGCTCGTTTTCCCAATACTACACAGGCATTGTGTGATCAAAGGCAGTATTTGTATCTAGGTCCACTGACTTCAGAGCCAGTGCTCTTTCCATAAACATTTTCCTTGTCAAGGTCATGTCACACTTTAGAGATAATTTATTTCAGTTCACATCTAACTCTGAGGTTGTATGATTCCATGATGAAGTCAAGAAACTAAGGCAAGAGCCAGAGAATTTAGCATTGCTTTCCTAGATGTTAGCTATGCTCTTGTTCCCAGTATTATAGAATGTTCCATGTACTAATTACTTACTTCAAATCTGATAGATATCAAACTAGGAAGTAGGCATGATACAGGGTCAAGGACAACCCCATTGGCATGGCCCCCCATGGACTGCAGTCCACTCTCAAGCCTGTGGTTTCTGGTCTCTGATCTCTGATTGGCTCCTTTTTCTCTCTCCAAAAAGAGGAGAGCTTAAAGAGTGAAAGCCAAACTGGACACACCTAGATTCTAGATTCACTGAAGGAAAGCTTGCTGCTGTCCCTTGTCTCCAAGTCATGCTTGATGCCAGGACTCTTCTCTTTAGTCCAAGTATTGTCTAGGAACAATTCCTCAATGTCCAAAACTTAATCCTGGAGTCCCTCCACTTAGCCAGAAACTCCACAGTTATTCTGCCATTACCACTCTGCTATTGCAAGTTTGAATTCCTTTCCTGAGAACTCCTAGACATTCTACTGCTGCCATCTCTATATCTCCATCCATCCATATATACATAAATGAATTCTTTTATCTCTCTCAGGTGTTCCCCTAAATAAATCTTGCTATTATGGATGATTACAGTCACAATAGCCAGGCATAGCATTACCATTTTTACCTTGTGGAATGCTTTACTTTTCTATAAATTGTTTCTTTGCTTTTCTTTTTGGCCACTCAATTGTAATAAAGAACTTTTTTAATCATCCCCATTTAGTTTCCCATTCTCTCTTGGCATCCTATTATCTCTAATTCTCCTTTCCCATGGTTATCTGTTCTTTACGCAGTTCCCTCTCTCCTTGCCCAATATTTTATTTTTAATTCAACAATTTCTATTTTCAATTTCAAGTTTCTTTTAAGTAATTTTTGCTAATGTTCATAGCATCCCCCAATTTAATATAATCTGCCTTTGTCAGTATACTGGCTGCTTATCTTCGTAATTATTATGAAGCTATTAAAATCAATCAAGGCAGTGCCCAGTTGACATCCCTACCATATGTTGTCATCTAAAGGCCTCTT